GTGGCTAGTTGAGTTTGAAGCTACATAACTCGTTGAGGACTTTTCTACACTCTATCGCAATTTTTGACGAAGTTTCACACCAATCCAATGGCTTAATAGCGCATGGCTATCGAAGTGTATAGTTACTTAATACAAATGAAGAGAATATTCGATGAGGCAAAGTGCAGCCTCTTTTATGGCCGCGAGTTCCGCTTGAAAGAAACTGCAATGGTCAGTCAGCCTAAAGCAGAAGTCTAATGAGAGGTCCTACGAGTGTCTTAGAATTAGTTTAGAATCATCCGTGTTTAGGGCTGTAGAGTGTTCTTGGAGGTCCCAGGCCAAATCGTGCTTCCTCAAAGGGAACGAGTCGAGCTCGAGCGGCGGTGTTATGTAGTCTGTAGACCTAAAAGCATTGCGGTGCATTTCTGTCCCGCCCCGTTTCCATGTCTGTTTCGTGTCCAAAATGACGCCCAATAAGAAGAAGAAGCATTCTCTCTGTTCTCGTTTCTGCTAGAGGAAATGCAGTCTAAAGGTTCTACATACCACGGGCTGTCTTACTCCTCAGAATTTCAGCAACAGTCAACTGTGCTTTATATGAAATTTCTGGGATAGAGCAGGCGCTTAACTAGAGAGTTCACTTTAGCACCATTTCTGTAGTTGACCATTGAATTACACTTTGCATAAGATTTCATGCAAGTTCTTTAAGGAAGGGAAACGTTTTATCTCCACTGCTATGCAATTTCGTGCTGAATTAATTCCAGCTTAACTTGACCTCGAAAGCAAGTTTGCAGAATTATTTTGATAGTCTATCAATTTAAGAGCCCCCGTCGCTGAATTTTTGAAATCTTAAACTATCTAAAGAGACGAAATTTCTGCGAAAATACCGAAGTCTAAAGCCGCGGCCCAAACACTCGTTGCATACAGCATTTTAAGACCTATTTTTATCTGCGCCCCGTTCGTCTCCCGAAAAGACACTTCAACACATTCCATTTACACATACTTACATATTTGAACTAGAGTGAACTAACAATACGACTTAGGAGGCCTAACAGGCTGGGGATGACGGATAACGGCAACATCTCCATTTAGAGGCAGAGTCGGTATGAAGTAGACATACTGTGGCTATCATATTAAGGAGATCTTATTTGCG